TATTCTATTCTATTCTATTCTATTCTATTCTATTCTATTCTATCCTCTTCTGTGGAAATTAATCCTCTAAAACATCTGAAACTTACATAAGAGTCTTCTGGACTGCTACACATTAAAGTCTCCGGAGAGTTAAGGCCCTTCTCCAGAACTTGCTTTCGTGGCATCGGTGTAGGAGGCGTTGTCTTCTGTGAATAGCACATTAGAAAGAAAATGAAGCTGTCGGACCAAAGCCCAATCAAATAGTATCATCTAAAGTTATCTTGACTTTGAGACATTCTTACAGTGTAAAGGGAAGCTCTTTTTGGTTGGTTCGGCACATCGTACACCTTCCCATTTGGACTGGATGCTGTACTGAAGGATGAAGGCTGCAGACAAAACAGTCAGGCTGTAATATTGGAGTGGACTGGCAGCATTTGCTCTGCTTTGATCAAAGCCACTTTCCCCCCACTGACACATGCGTTAACACGTTTATGGGGACAGTGTTTGCTCTGAAGCCTGTTGAGAGTGCTATTATTCATACACCTTGCCAATTAATGCAGCTCTGTAATGAAAACCATGCTGTTCAGCGACAATTAGGTAGCTACTGTAGAGAGAAACAGGACTTCCCTGGAGCAGGAGAGGAAATGGTGAACATGCGGGAATATATCCCCCCTCCTTCTGTTGCAGAGGCAGCCGTACAGACACTTCTGTTTTTCTGGGGTCCCTGTCAGCATGTGCTGCTGTTTGCAGTTAAAAGTGTCTGAAGTCTGTGTCTGTTTGGCTTTTACAGGCCCATAAAGACCCCAGTGCTGCATGCCTGTCCCCATGGAGAGGCCCCTGGTCTCCATCTGCAAGCTCTTTTGTCAGCAGGGGTTTCATTTCTACAACATTTCTACCTCTCTAATCATGAGCATTAACACTTCCTAAGAAGCATGAATGACTTTGACCTTGGACAAACAGACTGGCTATCAGCTACAACGAGCTCCTTTCCAAAAACTGCAAAATAATCATTTTCTAAATATAGCAAAAAAACGACTTGTACCTTGTGTGCTTCGGGTCCTGCTGTGCTGGGCGTAAATCCTGGTGCTTCTGGACCTTTTGAAGCCAATAAGTGAGCAGAGGGGACCTTGTAGATCATGTCCATGCGTTCATAAGCAGGACTGCTGGTGGTTCTGGGGATGCTGGGTGTCTGGTAGATATTTTGCACACTGTCATCAGTTTTACCATGAGTCGACCTGAGCACTTCATGCACTGCTGGTGTCACCATCTGCGGTAAGAGCTTTAGTCTGTTTGCAGGTGCCAGGCCATGTCGTCCATACAGAGAGCACATCCACCACCCGCTGGTCCCAGCCACGTTTGGATTTATCACTGTGAGGATGTCGCCCTTTCTAAAGGCCAGTTCATCTGGACACTCTGCTGTGTTGTCATACAGAGCCTTTGCTAATTGGTTCTTAAGAACAACAAAAAAAGAGAGACAAATGAAATAAGGGTTAGAAGGTTGCATGTGGTACTACCACACAGGAAGTAGGCTGTGGTCACGTATAATGGTATTTCCTCTTGCAAAATGTGAGTCGAACTCAGTCGTCAGACTCACAGGGAAAAAAATCATAACCCGATTGAAGGTCTAATTCTTCAG